CAAATGTACGCAACCTCGTGCGCTCGATATGTGACAATCCTTAACAAAGCTAACGGACTTTTAGCTTGGAGATTGGCGGATGTCGAATATGCAGAAGACAAATATCGTGATTTTGAAGGCGAGCTTTTCGGAGGCAAGGTAGATATGTACTGGCGCGAAACTTGCTTCTGCTGGTGTTTTTGGTCTCTAAGCATCACCATCCCAGAGCTTGAGAGCAGTGACGCCATCCTTGTAAGAGCCATGGATGATGCATTGGGCGTGCAGCCTCGCGATATGTACTGGTCCGTTCTCGGGATGATGAACAATCCTTGGTTCCGAGTCACGATTACGAAAGAAAACGGGAACTTGAAGTTTGAGCATCCTACCCACCCTAGTATGCCTACGGGATGGATGGAACGCGTGAAGAAGGCTGGGGGTGACCTAACGAATGGTAACTGGGGAGAAAGACACGAAGGAGAGGAGCCGACAGAGCCGGAACCCGTGCAAGAAATAAATATGAAGAAAGACGGGCTAAACCGAACGATCGGTTTTGAAGAATTCAAGGAGAATTCCAGCGATGAGAAGCCATGGTTCATCGTGAATGGAGAAGTGTATGATGGTCACGCATTTCTTGAAGGTCACCCTGGTGGAGCGCAGAGTATTGTCTCCTCTGCTGGTCTGGATGTCTCCGAGGAATTTCTTGCTATTCGTGAGTCCCAAATATATCACACTGCAAACGTACCATTCATTGACACTCATCCACAGATAGCGAGACGGCAAAGGCGATGATGCCTGAGTATCATATTGGAACGATGGATCCGGAAGGTCTGAAAGCGCTCAAGGATGATACATCATCCTCATCCGATGAAATTCGCCCAGTGTTCCTCCAACCACGGTCTTGGACAAAGGCAACGCTAAAAGAAAGGAAAGACATATCATGGGATACACGGATATTTAGTTTCCAATTGGAACACGAAGATCAAACCTTGGGTTTACCAGTTGGCCAGCATCTTATGATCAAAGTCCTCGACACACCGTCTAACAACGAAGCCATTATCCGCTCATACACCCCAATTTCTGAAACCAGCCAAAAAGGGACTGTGGACTTGCTGGTCAAAGTATACTATGCAACAGCCACCTCAGCAGGTGGCAAGATGACGATGGCCCTGGATAGACTGCCATTGGGCTCCGTAGTTGAGTGCAAGGGTCCAACAGGCAGATTCGAATATCTGGGAAATGGACGAGTTCTCATAAGCGGCAAGGAACGCCATGTTCGGTCGTTTAAGATGATTTGTGGAGGAACCGGTATCACACCGATCTTCCAGGTCTTGCGTGCCGTGGTTCAGGACCAGCAAGATCCCACATCTTGTGTTGTTCTCAATGGTAACAGACAGGAAGAAGATATACTTTGCCGGGCTGAGCTCGACGGCTTCATGGCATTCGACAGCAGAAGGTGTAACATAATACACACCCTATCCAAAGCGCCGGACTCGTGGACTGGCCGACGAGGACGCGTATCCGAAGAGCTCCTAAAGGAATATGCGGCTCCAGAAGATGAGAGTATGGTACTGATTTGTGGTCCGCCAGCCATGGAAGAATCTGCTCAGAGGATACTATTGGCGCAAGGATGGAAGGAATCAGACCTTCACATTTTCTGAATTGGTATTATCCAAGTGAACGATTTGATGAGTATGTAAGACATGGGTCATAACGGCGTTGGGAATATATACAGGGTTATCTTTGGGAATAGCACACGAATAGTCACGTTAGTAGGTACCAACATCCTTATTATATTTAGCAAGGTAGACAAACAATAGTACAACGAGCCGAAAATACTGTTTAATATAAAACTTCAAGAAGAGCTAGTGTGGTGGAGCTTGTTTTCCATTCTCAGTAATATATCCTCATATCCAAGCGCGCCAGGAGGTGGTCAAATACACTTGTAGGCGCTTCTCTGGATGCGAAAGTCGTGCCGGACCTGCCGAAAGACTTTGAAGACGCCTTCACGCCATCTAAGTTGCGCAGATAATTCACAAAAAGGGATGTTTGTTTCCGAAAAGTAGCATAGAGCTGATGGGCAATAGCCTCACTTTCGTGGCGCACGCCGCTCGCTCCATCCATCCTCGACAATGGAGCAAATGTTAAAATCGTACCAAAGATACTTTCCAGCAACTTCGCTGCATCAGCATGTCTTTTGCTGAGAAAAAGCGCAAAAAGCATTTGATCGAGAACATCTTCATGATAATCTCTAAGTCTAGGGACAGAATGTGCTGCTTCTATCGTGCCATCAACATCACCGCGGTCGAGGTAAAGTTCAATCTTAGCCAGGCTATCTTGGAACCGCTGCCAAGTCGAGCCAATGCCGACATGGAAGCAATAATCACTCAATGCAAGCACGAAATGTTGGCAATCAATGCGAAATTTCTGGTACACGTTTCGGGGGTCTCCAGATAGGGAGTCTCTCCCCGTAGAATCACGAATGAGACCTTTGACGACCGAAACCATTCGGAGGAGTCGAAGCAGATGCTTGAAAAGACGGTCATATTTGTTAAGTGATCGCGACGTAATGATAGCTTCCAGGACGTCGGATGGTTTGTATTGGAGACGTAGGAAATCCAAAGCCTCGATTGCGTTGGGATCCTTGCATTTGGTAATTTCTTCATCAGTCAACTCTCGAATTGAGAAACTGAGGCCGCCAGGAAGTTCCCTCTCCTTGCGGGACTCATTGACCGTTGAGCTATCTGAGCGATCATCAAAGCCGTGACATTCACTAAGGAGCCCAATGAGCACCAATCGCAACTCCGAGCTTGCAGGAGGCCAAGTGTCACGGCTCCCTAACCGTAAACCAGTGTGGACACTACTGCGGACAACACCGGATTTTCGCTCGCCGCTCTGCATGTCCGGGTCAAAGAGAGCGTGCGACAGGCGCGAGGTGAAGAAACCATCCCCGAGGAGCTGGAACCGCCATTGCAGAGATAGGTGATAACGGACCTTGTGCTCCTTGAATAGCAGGTGAAGACAAGAGAAATCAATTAACAATGCCTGGGACGAAAGAAGTGGTGCAAGAGACAGATAGAGAGCGGAGGCTAATTCTGGGCCGAAGGTACACTTATGATCCTCAGGCACTCCAGGATCCTTGTCATTCCCTTGGTCAATCAATCGGGAGAGCTCGTCTTTCTCTATAGAGGATTGGGTTGCGAGCAATCCAGTCATGTTTTGCGCGTCATCAATGTCAAATAAATCGAAAGTATCTTTAAGTGTATCACTTGCCTCAATATAAGCAGGAGATTCGGAATTGATTATCAAATTTCTCGTTGCAGAGGAATCACCACGATTATACCTGAGAATTTCAGACCGAAGCCTATTTTCGTAGGTCTTTGCTTTTTGTTGTATCCTTTCAATATCTGTCCACGTGCTAGCACAGCTGAGCCTGGGGACATCGCCGTTGCAAATTCCGTCACTTGCAATTGGATGTTGCGGATGGAATCGTTTAAGCAGGCGTAGGCTTCGCCCACTTTCGAAGATTAACTCTGCTTGATCTGCAGGAATGAATGTTGGCATCTCGGCAGGGTTATATCTGTAGTCAAGCCTTGTTGATTGAGAGGATGTCGTCTTCGGATTATCTTCTGAGTGCTCTAAAGCCACAAAGCTTCTGCCGTTTGCCGCCAGCTCCTTCAATGTCGACGCCTCCAAGCGGAGGCCAACCCAAGTCTCCACATGCTCAAGAAACGGATACACTGTCCGGATAACAATCTCGCGGAAGAGGTCCTCCATATGGCCGAAGGTTTGGGAGAAATGGGCGGCCTTTTCAAGCACGATGGAGAATATCTGGGCATCAGACACAGCCCCTTCAACAGCTTCGACCAGGTCTGCCAAAACACTAGCTAATTCACCGCATCGTTGAAACAGGGCTCTAAGCTGGATGAGTGACACTATATTGTCAGTATACCTGAGAAGCCTCTTTTCAGCGGTGTAAATGACGACGGCTACAGCACTCGAAAGTGTAGAAAGGGCCGAGAGTTTAGTTGACTTCGATGGAGCTTTGCCAACGAAGATTCGCACCCGCTGCATATCCGTGCCGCATCGAATCATTTCATCAGTCAAGCCATTAAGCGCAGCGACACTAACACCCGAGAGGCGGATGCCATCAAATGCTCGCTCGAACATTTGGTGTTCCCTGTTATATCGGAAAAACAATGAGCTCCAACCAAGACCAAGCCGGAACAGGGACCGGAAAAAGACAGCATTTCGGGTCACACGGCCTGGTTTCCCAAGCCCGTTCACTGCAGCCTGATTTGCCAACGCTGCATCGAATCCTCTAGCCCCCGATTCACTAAAATATGCGGATGCGGGTTCATGGTACAATCGGTTTTGACAATTCTCCCACGTCTTCAATAACCCCTTGCCATCAAAATTGACATCCAAAATATCCAACGCCCAGATATCCTCTGACCCATCTCCGGTTTCCGAGCGTGCAACGCTCGGTTCGGCATAAGTTTCGCTTGATGCATCGGTTGTTGATTCCGGTACCAAGTCTGGATCGAATACATCGGTTTCGTAAAGATTCAACTGGCGTGATCCAAAACAATCATCATTGAGTAATTGCAAAGGGCTCCTAAAGAAACCCCCAGTCAAATCTGGTAAAAGCGTATGGTTAGTATTCATGAACGGACGGATAAGCGTCCCAACATTGATACGCACCTGGCAACTCTTCGTTCCAGGGTAGGGGTTCTAGTGGTTGCAGTGACTGTAGAGTGAACTTCGATAGCCTCCACAGATCCTCACTAGAGAATGGGTCCGTATCATAATCTTCTTGCTCCATCGTATGACACGGACAGCTCCAAAGACTGACGCCATAGAAGCAAATCCTTATCAGCTGACGACGCGTTGGCGGCGCGAAATCACGCCTCACTAGCCTTAGAATGTACTAGCGTCCCCCCCAGGTCACGCTTGGACCACCGCTTGTTTGGGAATCCGAAGCAGAATGAATTTGTCGTGACGCAGTCTACACCAGCTCCCCACGTGTGTCGCGCTCTAGTACAGAGGGTCCTGAACGTCATCGAATATTTCAGAATAGGAGATTGTTATGCGCAACGGTCAATATGCCTCCCAGGAAGAAGCCTAAGCTTACCGCTCAATCCGAAGCCGCGCAACCTTCCGCGAACACCCCCGCCAGTGATAGCGCAGCTCAGCCTAACACGGATTACGACCCGGTGACGGACCCATGGACGGATGAACAGGAGACGGCGCTACTGAAGGGTATAATCAAATGGAAGCCGGTTGGTTCGTAGCTACTCCTAGTGCTACTCCAACAAGCCAACTTCTGCTAACCAATTTGTCCCGTCGAAGGAATGCACAAACACTTCCGTATGATCGCTATCTCCGAGTTCATGAAAAGTCAAGGCTATGCACCTGTCCACGCGGAACATACACGGATACCTGGAATCTGGAAAAAACTGGGGACATTGTATAACCTTCCAGCACTCGATGAGCGGGTAGGTAATGACGGCTGTCTATGTCAGTCATGGATTGCTAACATTTGCACTTTGCCATGTAGGAGGATTCCTTAATAACAGATACCTCCGATGATATCGATGGCTCGAAAGAGCTTTACTGTCCATTTGAGCTTCCTGAAGATGAATACGGCGAGTTGATGTTCGAGAGGAGATTAGCAATGGAAGGTTCCGCTTCCCCAGTTCATAGTGCCCACGCCGAATCTAGGCGAGGTAGCACGGTAGCGGACACAGATGGTGCGTCCTACTGATTTTTGATTTCTTTCCGAGTTCTGCCTAGCTTCTGACTACTGTACGCATTTAGAACCTCGATCCTCTCCGGCGCCGTCAAAAGGTAGGAAGTCAGGTCGTGGAGGTCGCCAATCGGCACGAGGCGCTCGATCTTCACGGCTACAGGTAGAAATCGAGGCCCCGAGGAGGAGTTCGGGCACGGGGGAAGAAGAAGGTGACTCTGAGGATGCTGGTGCGAATGAAGAAGGGGACGAAGAAGGTTCGGACGCGGCGAAAGACGACAGTGAAGGTGACGAAGAAGCCGAAGAGGATACGGGAGGCTCTCCAACAGCACGAAGCACACGAGCCCAGACAACACGGACAAAACAAAAGGAGAAGAGAAGTAGTGGCACAGGAACTAGACGAGGCGGTCGACGACGGTAGATTTTAATGTGTACTTTTATTTCATGATGGTTTGAATTTTGATACCTTTGGAGGACTCATGGCAGGCGTTTATTTTGCATTCACATATAGTAAATTTACCATCACATTCAGTCTACTTGAAAATTTCATTGGAATTAGTTTCGGTTGGCGGTCAGTCAACAGAACGCGATGCTCTCTTAATAAACATGCTTCGGTCACTAGGTGTTTGCGCCAATTGATGGGGTCAAGATTACGATGAAGAGAACGAGGCATATTGCAAGGCAAATGGCATCTAAATAAATACATTGTACGTATAAATAGGTCACTACATTTGTTCTAGTCATTCACAGGCTAAAGGAGATAATCAAGGGAAATAGTACATGGTGCGAACCGAATCCCTTACAGACGCTTCATGATGGCCTCAGCGTACTCGTGGGTCTTGGCCTTGCCGCCCAAGTCACCGGTAAGAGTCTATATAACGTTAGCAATTGCGGTACACTAGCGAACAGGGGTCAGTATCCAGATCAGCTTACCTTTCCTTCAGCAAGGGTATCGAAAGTGGCCTTCTGGATACGAGCAGCATGCTCGCCAAGACCCATGTGCTGCAGCATCATGATACTGCTCAGAAGCAGAGCAGTGGGGTTAGCGAGGCCCTTGCCGGCAATGTCGGGGGCAGAGCCGTGAACAGCCTCGAAGATGGAGCACTCGTTACCGATGTTACCGGAGGGAGTGAGACCGAGACCACCGATCAGACCGGCGCACATATCGGACAGAATGTCACCGTACAGGTTAGGCATGACAAGAACCTTGTCGTTGTAAGGAGTGGGGTCAGTGACGATCTTGAGGCAAGAGTTGTCCAGCAGCTCTGCGTCGAATTCGATATCGGGGAACTCCTTGGCAATATCACGGGCGAGGTTCAAGAAGAGACCATCCGACATCTTCATGATGGTAGCCTTGTGTACGACGCGGACCTTCTTCTTGTTGATGGAACGAGCGTACTGGAAGGCAAAGCGCAGGACTCTCTCAGAGGCCTCCTTTGTGATGAGCTTAATGCTCTGCACGACGCCATCGACGACGACGTGCTCAATACCAGAGTATTCACCCTCGGTGTTCTCACGGATCAGGACGGTATCGACGTTGTCGTAGGGGGTCTCGTAGCCAGCAACGGAACGGCAAGGACGCACGTTGGCGAAAAGGTTGAAGGTACGGCGAAGAGTAAGGTTCAGAGAAACGTGTCCCTTGCCAACGGGGGTCTAAAATTTTTTCAGCTCAGCAAAATATCACCACGATGCATGAAAGCGTTGACATACAGCAAGGGGCCCCTTGAGGGCGACATAGTTCCTCTTCACGCTCTCAATGGCTTCATCGGGAATTGCGGTCTTTCCATCCTTCAGGATAGGAGTAACATCGACTGGCTCCCACTTGACGGGGGCCTGTAAATAGTTTAGTGGCACGTCTTAGATATTACAAGCGGCCTGGAGGGAAGAAACATTACGTTTGCGGCAGCGAAGATGTCCTTGACGGACTGCGAGATCTCAGGACCAATGCCATCACCCTCAATCAGAGTAACCGTGTACTTTCCCTATAAAGATAAAATTTCCATCAGAAAGGTTGTTCGGCGGCGTGAAATCTAGTTCTAGATTGTGTATAGATCGATCGTCCAAAAGATTTCAGGCGGGAGACGCCGGACTAAGGGAAGAAAAGATCCGAGACAGCAAAAAAAAATTCGGAGGCTTCGGGGCGCAACATACATCGGTGTCCTTCTGGCCCTTGAACTTAGCGACACGCTCGTCGGCAGCAGCGGCATAGCCACGGAGCTAGGTAAACTAGGTTAGCTACGCAAGAATTGACAGTTGAGCCGAAGATGGAAGTGGACTTGATACCTGCGAAAAGGGCGAAGCAATGCTCGGGGAGACACGAGTGCTCCGCAAGCATTGGCGGGCGGGGAGAGCGAAGTTTCTAGCGGCAAACATTGTGACAGGTCCCCGGGGTCAGCGACAAACAACACAGGGTTGAAGAGGAGAGTATATGAAGGATGGGAAGGAGAGAAAGAAGAAAGGCGGCGGCGGGTTGCTCTGTGCGGGAAGTGAGAGAAGGTTCCTCAGGCCAATCTTGACCTCTCTCGGCACCGCCGCTGCCGACCGACCGGCATGGCCTGGGATTCCGTGTTTGGCTGCCCAGAATCCACTTGGTGTCCTTTCCTAGATCAGATAACAACTGACGGGACGGTCACGGGGTCACCACACCTCGTTCATTGTCTTTATTATTTCATTGTAATTTTCCCCAAAACTCCCCCTAAACCTAACCTATAGTCTGGCGCCCGAGATTTCCCCACCTGTGCGGCTACGTGCCTACCTGCATGTGGCCTCCTGGATCGTTCTCCCCCCGGCAGTTGATCGGTCACCTGCCCCCTCCTAGACTAAGCGCGCGGACACCTTGCAACAATGGCTGACGCAGATATCGCAAACTACTATAATCTCCCTTCGGCCTTTCCTGAGGAGTGGCCTGCAGAGCTAGACGAAAGTGATCATTCGGAGGATGAGGCACTTACCCGCACTGGTTCGCGGCGATCCCGGTACTTTGCTCTCGAGCGCAGTAACAGCCGCCAGAAAGGTGTCAACCTAGGGTCATTCAAAGGAAACAATGGTCGGGAAAACATTGTCCAAATGGACGAGCCGGATCCGCTCGGGACAGGCGATAGCGTCCTCAAGATCTTGAAGAAGGGGGGGCTGTCTGTAGAAGAAGAGAGTCGCTTGCGAAATAGATTTTTGCTCTCATCTACTTCATTTTCCCCGGCTCTGTTCCTTTCGCAGGCTCACTCCGATGCGTCGATTAGATCACTACTCAATGGATTAGAATTTCTCTCACAATCGATCGATCAGAAGTCAGCTTCGTTGAAAGTACTTGTCGAGGCGAACTTTGAGCGATTTGTTCGAGCTAAAGCAACAATTGATAGTGTATACACAGAGATGAGGAACCAAGGGAAGACACAAAACTTATCGGTCCCGCAAGCTCGCCGCAGGTCAGGACATTTCCGGAACCTCTCCTCTGGCAAACAGAGCATAACTCCCGCGACGATTACAGACTCGGGGCCTGGGAAGAATGCTCTGACAAAGGAAAGTGAATACGGCATGAAGGGCATCCGCGGTCCACTTTTAGAAGCCTCTGTCAAAGCTGAAGAAGTCTGGGGTCCTGCGTTAGGTGGCCGTGAAAGAGAACAGGTTTTAAAATCGGTTGTCGAAACTATGGAGAAACACCGGGATGTCTACGAAATAGGCGGGCTCCTTGCGAAGTCCATCAAGCAGAGAGACTATGATTCTGTTTTCGAGCAGTACACCCGAGCAAGGACGCTCGCGAAGGAGGCCAGGATTACTGCCCATACGGCGACGAGTAAAAGCCGACCATTGACAGACGAGGAGACTCACATGATCTTAGCAATGGGGAGGATGTGGTTGGATGTTGACCAGCAAATACAGGCATTCAAGCATGATCTTTGGAGGCGCTTGAGTGAGTCACCTATCGCCTCGACGACGGTGACAGCTTCAGGGCCAGTTGAGGAACATATGGAACTAATTGGCGCTCTGCTGGAATTGGGTGTCGAGGATAACCCCATCTGGGTCTGGCTTCTTGGTCGCTATGAATACTTGAAAACGAGAATTACAACTTTTTGCGAACGCGGCAAAACAGAATTAGAGATACTCAGGCGCAGGCTCGCTTCTGGCGAGAAGCCGACGCCTCAAGCACTGGCATCCTATCTCCGACTCGCTCCCCGTGATGGTGCAGCAAGTACTCCAGCGACGCTTGACACTGACCAGGTCATCGAACTCTGGGAGTGTGTACATACTTACTTAAATAGACTGCTATCGTCACAGGGAGGCCTTCTGGGTGAAGTCTTCGATTTCTGGGAAGCGGCACAATCCTTTATCGAGGGTAGCAAACAGAAGCTTCTCCCAACCGGATTCGAAGGTGAGAGTCGTAAGCATCACCGGCTCTCCCCTAATGACGCCAGTGAGCTGCAGAAGGGCGTTGTCGAATTAATTAATTTAATTCGTGAAAGCATTCTGTCGCTGTTCGCCGACCCTCCAGTGGAGGATGTTACTATCCTCACCTCTCCAATACCACCACCAAGCCCCAAGAGTCCGATGAGCGGAGGAATTACTCCCACCGAGTCCCGTTTCAAGCTAGATCCCAAGAATATGCCATTTCCCACCCCAAAGCGTGGCGAAGCTTGGGAGGACTTTGCATTTTGGCCTCCCTTTTCCAATTCCCTTAGCGGCATCCACTACCTCGGCCAATTCCTCGTCCTTATTGGCAGAGCAGCCAGTGAAATGGCTGCATTAGCCCCTGTACGAAGTACAGACAACGCTTATGATCTCCTCAAGTCACTTGTGAGCGTCACTCGTGAACGTTCAGTTCGCGCAGCATGCTACGCCTGGGGCAAAGATGCAGAAGTTTGCAAGATGTTGGAGGACTGGACGAGGGATCCGGAGAAAAAGGATTTGACCAAGATGCCCGGTTTGTTTGTGGCTTTTGAGAACGCAATCCTCAGTGGGATGCAGAAGATCCTTTACATTTCGGAGGCCATGGTAAAATCGGCTGATGTAGATGTTGTCACACAACCTCCTGCGAAGCTTCTACAGATGGTGCGCACGCAGTTTGTGTCCAGTATTTACAAGGCCCTCAGCGGCTTGGTCGAGAATGCGGAACATCCCACCCTTCCTCAAGAGGACAGTGAATGGGTGCTAGCGGAGCCTGCGACGGGTAGTCTCTCTGATTCATCCACAGCGCTTTTCATCGCGGATGCGGTCGATGCCCGAAATAGGGTAGGTCTCACATGGATTTCGAAGGCTTCCCTGTCAACTAATTGTGGTTATAGAATGTTCGCATACTCCTCACTTTGTCGAATATCAAATCATTCCAAGCCGATCTCGTCCCTCAGCTCGTGGCGAACTTTGAAACTTCATTTTCCGTCAGATTGACTGAGGAAGCCAATACTATTCGCGACGTGCTCAGTCAGATTGACGACCGCTTGTTCCAGTCATACACTAAACCCACCATCAACAAATTGAATACAACGATTGTTGATGGCATTACTTCCCCGGATTGGGAGCCAACCGTCCCTCGCCCCGAACAAGTCCGGCCGT